TAATGAAGTTACTAAATGAAAAAGAATCTCTAATATAGAATTCATTGGATTCATTGTAGGAAATTGTGAGAATATCTGTAAGGTGTTTAGCAAGTTTACTATTAGGAGCATCAATGGAAGATACAATAGGCCTCATTGAAATAGTGGGTTTATGAACTTTAGGTAGTGTATAAAACCTAGGTGCAACTGCATTGTAAATTTTCAAGGATTTTGCAACTTCTGTTGTTATGGATTTGGAAGCAGCTAAATCCGAAACCAGCTTGTTCGCCTTTTGTTGGAGGGTGCACACCGACTGTTCTTAAGTTTTATGTAACTTTTTGTGTCATTTAATAAACTATTACTTTTTTCAATGTAATCATTTTTATACATTGCCACTGTTACATTACCTTTGTCACTCCTAACAATGTAAATGTCTGGATTTGATTTCAAAAATTGTTTACACTCATTATATATTGTGTTCAAAAAATGTCCTTCTTTACTTGTTTTGTGTAAAAAGTTAGTGATAACATTAGTGCTTTGAGATCTCACAATATCCTTCTCTTGAGGTTCTAAACCAGAAATAAGAAACTCAATATCTGAGAGAAGAGAAGACATTTTAAAATCTCTAGCACTAGGAAATAGGCAAAATTTTGGACCCAAGACAAAAGTTTTTTCACATTGTATGGAAAAGTGATGTCAGTTAGATTTTTGAACCATTTTTCTTGAAATGTTATTTTTGAAAATTGATCAACTTTTATTTTGTTAAATTTTTTGATGTTATTATTTTTAATTCGAAAGAAAATTTTATTGTATTTAATTTTTTTTTGCCTTCTATAGAATTCTTGTAGTAACGGAGCAGGTAAATGCTGCTCTAATGTATTTTTTAGTTGATGTAACTTCTTTTCTGTGTATGTAATATCATTTATTGTTACAGAGATTTCTAAATTTAAGACTTTGGTTTTTAAATTTGAATTGAAGTTTTGAATTTTACTACCTAATTTACCTCCTTTATGATGTAACAAGTTATTGATGTTAAACTTTCCATTCTCTATGTGTGCAGGAAAACAAAGATTTTTTCTACATTTCAGAAGGAAAATTCTTCTGTTGTTGAGTGATGCAAGCTTGATGTTGAAATTGGCCCATTGTTTTAGGAAATCTACGCTAGCAGAACCATATCCTCTCCTGATGTTCTCAAAAAACCCCATCATGTAAATACAAGAAATACTGGATATTATTGACTGTCGATATAAACAAACAACACAGTTTATTAGGGTTGCAGTCAGAATTATTGGCCGGGATGTTAAAAAAACACTCTTTTGACTTTTTGTCGAGCTTTCGGAATATTTTTATTCCTTTTTCAAGACACTGTAAAAGACAATTACAGTGTCTTGAAAAAGGAATAAAAATATTCCGAAAGCTCGACAAAAAGTCAAAAGAGTGTTTTTTTTAACATCCCGGCCAATAATTCTGACTGCAACCCTAATAAACTGTGTTGTTTGTTTATATCGACAGTCAATAATATCCAGTATTTCTTGTATTTACATGATGGGGTTTTTTGAGAACATCAGGAGAGGATATGGTTCTGCTAGCGTAGATTTCCTAAAACAATGGGCCAATTTCAACATCAAGCTTGCATCACTCAACAACAGAAGAATTTTCCTTCTGAAATGTAGAAAAAATCTTTGTTTTCCTGCACACATAGAGAATGGAAAGTTTAACATCAATAACTTGTTACATCATAAAGGAGGTAAATTAGGTAGTAAAATTCAAAACTTCAATTCAAATTTAAAAACCAAAGTCTTAAATTTAGAAATCTCTGTAACAATAAATGATATTACATACACAGAAAAGAAGTTACATCAACTAAAAAATACATTAGAGCAGCATTTACCTGCTCCGTTACTACAAGAATTCTATAGAAGGCAAAAAATTAAATACAATAAAATTTTCTTTCGAATTAAAAATAATAACATCAAAAAATTTAACAAAATAAAAGTTGATCAATTTTCAAAAATAACATTTCAAGAAAAATGGTTCAAAAATCTAACTGACATCACTTTTCCATACAATGTGAAAAAACTTTTGTCTTTGGGTCCAAAATTTTGCCTATTTCCTAGTGCTAGAGATTTTAAAATGTCTTCTCTTCTCTCAGATATTGAGTTTCTTATTTCTGGTTTAGAACCTCAAGAGAAGGATATTGTGAGATCTCAAAGCACTAATGTTATCACTAACTTTTTACACAAAACAAGTAAAGAAGGACATTTTTTGAACACAATATATAATGAGTGTAAACAATTTTTGAAATCAAATCCAGACATTTACATTGTTAGGAGTGACAAAGGTAATGTAACAGTGGCAATGTATAAAAATGATTACATTGAAAAAAGTAATAGTTTATTAAATGACACAAAAAGTTACATAAAACTTAAGAACAGTCCGGTGTGCACCCTCCAACAAAAGGCGAACAAGCTGGTTTCGGATTTAGCTGCTTCCAAATCCATAACAACAGAAGTTGCAAAATCCTTGAAAATTTACAATGCAGTTGCACCTAGGTTTTATACACTACCTAAAGTTCATAAACCCACTATTTCAATGAGGCCTATTGTATCTTCCATTGATGCTCCTAATAGTAAACTTGCTAAACACCTTACAGATATTCTCACAATTTCCTACAATGAATCCAATGAATTCTATATTAGAGATTCTTTTTCATTTAGTAACTTCATTAACAATGTTAAAGTTCCAAATAATTATATATTGATTAGTTTAGATGTTGTGTCATTGTTTACAAACTTACCACTAGATGCTATTCTTAACAGCATTAAAAATAACTGGAACAACATCTCTCCACATACGAAGATCAGTTTAGATGATTTCATAAGAATTTTAACATTTATATTTGATTCTAACATCTTTGTATTCAATGGTAATTTTTTCAAACAAATTTTTGGCACTCCAATGGGCAGTAAAATATCCCCCATACTATGTAATTTTGTTTTGGATGAACTTATAACAACATGTAAAGAAAACATACCTTTTCACATACATTTATTAAACGTTATGTAGATGATTTGATTCTATCGGTCCCTGAAAACAAGGTAACTGATGTTTTAAACACTTTTAATGCCCAATGTGAACACCTACAGTTTACGGTTGAGAGAGAGGCTGATAATATGATTCCTTTTTTAGACATGCTAATCCATCGTGGCAATGATGGCATGCTAAAGACGGAGTGGTATCGTAAACCTTGTTTCAGTAACCGTTTCATAAACTTTTATTCTCAACATCCATCTAAGATGAAAACAAATTTGGTTTTGGCTTTAAAAACTAGGGTTATCAATTTGTCACATACAGAATTCAGAGACAAGGGACTAAAAAAGTTGAGATCCATACTACAAGAGAATTCTTATCCCATAGGGCTGTTAAACAAACTCATTTTCGGTTCTCCTTTTCCTTCACAAGTTTCTGTCAACCAAAATTTTCATAACAATGAGATCCGACAATTGACATTGACACATAACGCAGCAATATTACCATCTAAAATAACTTATGGTTGCCTACCCTATATTCCATTTTTGACACCTAAGCTAATGAACATCTTTAAAAATGTTAGTGGCTTAAAAATTACAACCAAAAATGTGAAAACAGTATCGAAGCTTTACACAAAGACAAAAGATCCTTTCACAATACAGGAGTCATCGAATGTTGTTTATTCTATACCGTGTAGTAACTGCAATAAAATTTACATAGGAGAATCATCTCGTAATTTTCACAGCAGGGTGATATCACATCGCAGTGACATAAAAACCAAAAAAATCAATGCATGTGCATTGACAGAACATGCACTAACTCTAAAACATGAGTTCAAGTTCGATGATTCCTGTATTTTGGCAAAAGAAAAGAACCATTTAAAACGTGTTTTTTTGGAAATGTGTTTCATAAAATCTAGCACATCTTGTATCAATAAAAAGTCCGATATAGACAAATTAAGTAACATTTATTGTTATTTACTAGAAAAACACCAAAAATAAAAATAAAATAAATATTTACCTGTACGAAAAATTACACCTCTGTATAATATGTTGCATACCATTAAGACAGGTTAAAAATTATAGACACCTAAGAAAGGCCTCTAGTAATGCTTGTAAAGAAAGATAACATCAATTTACACCTAATTACATATTAATTACACTGTTTTTTCTTTCCATTCTCTGTATGAGTTAATATACACCAGTAAAACATGCCATCAATCAAGTTTTACTATTTTTAACAACAAATTTTTAAAAATTTTATGATGTATTGTCCATAATTGTATATTTTAATGTGTGGTATTAATGTTGAGTGTTCAATGCTTACAAAAATAATCTCAACGACTAGTAAGTTACACTGAAGAATGGTGATATTATTTTTAAATACTTACATAATTGTCTTTTACAGTGTCTTGAAAAAGGAATAAAAATATTCCGAAAGCTCGACAAAAAGTCAAAAGAGTGTTTTTTTTAACATCCCGGCCAATAATTCTGACTGCAACCCTAATAAACTGTGTTGTTTGTATATATATATATATATATATATATATATATATATATATATATATATATATATATATGATATAAGTAGCTTTTCTCCGTATAACATGTTCTGTTCCTTGTTATTTATTTGATTATACCTTATATACACCTGTCACATTATCCTGTATATCCATACTACGTTCCATATTACTCATTAAGACGAGCTCGGGATAAGAAATTTAATAAACTCAGTATATTGGTCTCCTCCGCATACTTTCAGATCAGGGCGCTCTATGGTATCATGAAGAAGTGATGATTTTTTTATTAAACCAACTATGTCGTTTTATTTTTAGAAAAAATACTTTCATCATAGAGAAATAATATTGACACTATACGTTTGTAAAAGATATTAATTGATAGTAAATGTCACAAAAAGTTACCTAAAATTTTATTTATTTTTCTTAAAGAAAATTTTCTTATTTTCCTAAAATAGAACACTAAGTTGCTTACCTTTATATAATTAGTTCTGATGGGATCATCTAGTTGACCAGTTGAATCAGAATATCCATTTTCCGTTATTAACAATTCGGGGTTAAAATATTCCTGTTTAAACCATCTTAGCAATTTACGCATTCCCCAAGGAACCACCTATAAGATTTTAGATTGATTATAGAACAGCTTATTTAGGATAATTGCAATAAAAGTAGTTTTTATTTAAAACTTACCATTGTCGACTACTCGAAATTGTCAATAAGAATTTAATAAGTAAATTTTATTAGAGTTAAAAAAGATAACATATGATAATAATGTTTTTAAAATTAACTTTAAGAAATTATTATATTTGCTCCTAAGGCCACATGCTAACGAATTAACAAAGCACACGATATTTACTTTTACCAGGTCTGTCAAATTCAGATGAGATAATAAATTAATAATAAAATATGATTTGAAAGTGAATTTAATTATTATACGACGTAGCTATAATAAGCAATACATACTGGAACCACACAGGATGTGTTCGAACAGACAACGGAAATACCAATTATGTAAACATATAACGAGGAGTGCGTCAAGGGTGCATTCTGTCCCCTCTTCTATTTAATGTCTATGCCGAAAATATCATCAGAGCTTCTCTTGAAGATCGCCCTGAAGGTGCCAGAGTCAATGGAATCATCATTAACAATGTAAGATATGCCGATGACACCGTAGTGTTAGCAGAAACAGAAGACCAACTAAAAATATTGATGAACATACTATCAGAAGAAAGTCACAGACTAGGTTTGGATATTAATCTTTCCAAAACCAAAATCATGGTATTCCACAAGAACCCCCATGAACAAATTACACCCAACATACAAATCAATGGTATCACCCTTCAGAGCTCCCAAAGCTTCATATACCTGGGCAGAGAGCTAAACAGTCAGCTAGACCACTCAAAAGAAATTAGAAGACGTATTAAAATAGCAAGATCTGGCTTCATGAACATGTGTAAAATGCTCTCTAACCCCAAGCTATTAATCACAATAAGGTTAAGAACACTAAAGTGTTATGTGTGGTCTCTACTACTATATGGCTGTGAGACCTGGACATTAAAATAGTATGACGTCAACAAACTGAATTCATTCGAAATGTGGATGTACCGCTGAATGCTAAGAATAAGCTGGACCAACAAAACTACAAATGAAGAGGTACTGGAAATAATGAACACACGACCTCATCTGGTTAATACAATCAAAATTAGAAAGACGTCATATCTAGGACACATAATGCGCCATAAGGAATTTGAGCAGCTCCAGGTAATATTAGAAGGCAAAATCGAGGTAAAAGGGGTATAGGAAGAAAGAAGAAATCCTGGCTCCGAAACATCAGAGATTGGACTCACACAACAGGAAATGACTTAATCCATCAAGCCCAGAACAGATCTTTGCCATATTGATCGCCAACCTCAATAGAGAAGGCACTTAGGAGGAGGAGGACATATAAGTGTTTAAAAATAATAATTATATTTATATGTAATTATTGTAAAACGAGAAGTGCCATAAAAATTTAAACAGATGATTCAATATTGCTATTAATTGGATGACATTTATGACTTTTAAATTTTTACCATCGTTACGAATCGAATTTTTCATTGATAGATATTCTTTTAATTTTTTACTTCCCATTTAATGTCTGTATATTGTTAGGTATTTTTCATGCAGTTTTTAATTTGTACCTACTTAAAATAAATATTGATGACTAGACACTTCAATAATAATTAAAATTCAATATAAATAGCTATTGGATGGCGACTATACAAATTTTTGAATTTCTATCTCAAAAATTTAGGAAAACTTGATATATGAAACTAGCGTATATAAGAATATTTACCGGTTAAATTAAAGTTATCCACAAATCTCCCCACAAAAATGAGGTATGTACCGGGTGGTCCAATAAGCCGATCGCTCGGCTATATATCAGAAAATATTCATGTTATAACTTTAGGAGAAAAAATTTCCTAGTAAAAGTGGCCAAGAGAAATCGCTGGAAATAACTTTCAAGTTTCTAGGTTAACCGCTAGGGGGCGTAACCTGTGAAGAAAACTTTGAAAACCAGTTTTTTTAGAAATATGCCCAATTATACCAAGTGTTAAATAAATAAACTAAAAAGAGGCCTTAATTCTTCACAAAGTTGTTCAAGTACTTTTTTTTATTTTTTCAAATAAAGGGTGGGGGAGAGTGGGGAAATATTTGTGGATAAATACCTATAACTTTGGATTGAATTAACCGATTTTAACGAAATTAGTGTCATTAGAAAGAGTGTGGATGAATTAATTTACATCTGTTATAAAATAATTGCATTTAGTTTTAATTGTCATAGGTAGAGGGTACTTTTGAATAGAAAAAAATAAAATTAGTTTTTCTTTAAAATGTTTAATGGAAACACCTATTTATTGTAAACCGTAATGGAACTGAATTAAATTCATAACAAAATGGCGCAAACTGCATGTTAATAGCTTTTGTCGAACTCGAGATATGAATAAAAACGCATAAACATAAGTAAGTATAGTATTGACTCACCCTGTATTATAAATTAAATTAAGAAATAAGTCAGTAAGTACTTTCAAATTTTTTTATAGTAAAAGAATCTTAATGTTGATACCTATTTTGACCATTGGTATTTTATATGATTAAAAATAGTTTTTTCGAAAGTGATATATTATAATCCGAATTGAAGATTGCACTTTTTTCAATAGATATTAATATTGGTAATATCAGTAATTAACTATGAGTATTAATAATCCGTGATGAGTATATCAAATGCAGAATTTGTATGATATGATTGGAGTTTATTTCGAATGTCACCAAAATGCCGGTATTGTCTCACGTATATATTCTGTCTGTAAGATATAAAGATAGGAGACATTATGGCAAAGAAGTATTTGAAAGAAAGGTAAGAAGATTAAGAGAAACTGGTACTTTTCATAGTCTTTGTTTTAAACTATGTAGTAGAGGTATGACCGAAGATAATACAATCAATGTTCTTGCTTTAATTCAACAGAATCCACATATAAGTAGTCGGCAAATCTCTATAGAATTAAACTAAACTATACTAAAAACTACTGTTCTAAGACTTTTAAAACATCACAAGTTGGTTTTTCATATTATAAAGTGAACGTTTAGGTCAGAAACTTGGAATTCCCTTTAAACTTTAGATTCACCTGTTATTTTAATGTTCCGATAAAAACGGCAACACGGGGCTTTCATCCTTTTATCCGTTTCTTAAAAATACTTATGCACGATTTATCTTGTGAAACAATTGTAGATTTTTCAAGATTTTTGATTTTTTGTTTCTTTTCCACCAATATTTGTTGTTCTGTTTTTTTTTTAGACTGCATCCTTATCATGTAGTTCTCCACCAAGCTTTACATGAGAGAGATTTTGATGCAAGGCTGGATTACTGCAATTGGATGTTAGGTCTGCTAGAAAAACAATCGCGTATCATGTCAAAGTTTTTGTGAACAGATAAGGCTACGTTTAATAGTGCGGGTGATATTACTCTGCATAATATGCATTATTGAGCTAAAGAAAATCTGCATTGGATACATGAGCTGCAGGTTAAAGGTAGAATGAGTCTTAATTTTTGGTGTGGTGTAGCTGATGGAAAGATCGTAGGTCCATATTTCTTTGATATAACTTTAAATGGCGAAAATATTTGGATTGTCTGGAAAATCTGTTGTCTGTTTTATTGGAAGATATTTCCTTACAAACAAGAAGAGATATGGTATTACAACATGATGGGTGTCCTGCGCACTTTTCCAGATGAGTTCGAGATTATTTGTATGAAAGTTATCCAAATAAATGGATTGGAAGGGGAATCTCCAGACTTAACATATCTGGACTTTTATCTGTTGGGAAGATTAAATGACTTAGTGTACCAAACTTGACCAACCACGCGAGTCGAGATGAAACAGCGCATTATAAACAGAATAAATAGTATACCTATCAACAGCTGAGATTGAAGCAGCTGTTATGTCTACGCGCGAAAGATTACATCTTTGTGTGAACAATGATGGAAAACAATTTGAACATTTAATTGGACATTAAGTTTTTATGATCGAGATGTTTGTATGATCTTTCACATATTTAATTTTTAGTTATAATAAAGGGTGAGTCAAAAAGTGCAATCTTCAATTCGGATTATAATATAACACTTTCAAAAAAACTATTTTTAATTATATAAAATACCAATGGTTATAATATGGGAAGTTATAACATAAATAGTTTCTGATATATAGCCGAGAGATCGGCTTATTGGACCACCCGGTACAATATATAAATAAGCCAACCCACAACATCTTTCACCAATGTGATATTTCCCCCAAATCAAGAACAATATATAAATCAACAACACACGCCACACAACACCAATATAAATAACAGAGATAAATAGCAATACTACAGACTCTCACTGGCAAGTAGTTAAAAGTGCCAAACGCAGTAAAATCAGATCAGATTTGGAAAGAGACAAAGATGGTATTATTGCAATATCAAACAAATATAATAGCCTAACGGATACGCAAGAAAATAAAATCAATCAAAATGGAACAGCACCAAGTAACCCTAAACTACCACCAATATTTGTTTACGGCTTCCCAGAAATGAGAAAAAAATTTACAGAAATAGCTGAAGCTGAACAATACGAAACCAGGCAAATAATTCAGTTAAAATAAATTATACCGACCCAGAAATATACAGAAAGTTATGAAAACATATGAAAGAGTACAATATTATTCATCACACATATCAATCAAAACAAGAAAGAACCTACAGAGTCGTAATTAAGTATCTTGACCATTCACATGCAACAGAAGACCTGGCCAAACTGGGTCACTAGGTAAGAAACATCCTAGGATTACAAAAAAAAACCCGTAAATATGTTTTTGTTGACCTTGAAGTATCAGACAAAAACCAAGATATTTATAGAATTCAGAACTTACAACACTGCAATATAAAAATTGGACCACCCATAAAAACAAAAATATCATCCAATGTATGAATGTGCAATTATATGGCCATTCAAAAACATATTACAATAGACCATACGTATGCGTGAAATGTGGGAGACAGCGCATCAGAAAGCTGTAAAAAGAACGAGAACACACCAGC